GCTTTAGGGGTTTAGATTTTGGGCGATGATTCAATCTTTGATTCATTAAAACTCTGTGACATGACACTGTCATTCACTAACATTCATCATGTTCCTTTTGTCCAATTTATTGTAGTCATATCCCTCATAAAATGTATGAGAGAACATTTAACGTTCTTTCACATTCTTTACTGATTGACATGGCTCTATCACTTATCATTTATATAACTTTTGTGTGGCTGAAATGGTATAGTGCTCGCCTATTAGAAGCCCGCCCACACAATACTAAAGGGAGTTCTTTGATTTTGTGAAACTGTACCTAGCTGACTAACCATAATTATTGATGTTGAATACGGCCATGGCTACTAATTAGGCTGATGCTAAACAAAGCTGTTATCTGATTCATCTAATGGCCATACTTCACTTACTAGCACTTTAAAATGCGAACCGTGATATTGAAATCGTATAATCTATTCCAATTCATCTCAAAATGCCTTACAAATAAATCCTCCACTAGCATGAAAACTCTAAACTTCAAAGCCAAGAACGACTCTAGTACCCAACAAACATTATGCAAACGCGGAATAGCACAAGGTGGTGCTCTAGGGCCACTAATGAGCCATCGAGGTGCACTACTGCCACAGCTGCCGTGTACGTAGGTGTGTAGCCTCTGCCTGACTCTACCTACAGATGTCACTGGACACCCTGGGTGGCCTCTCATTACCCCAACTAGATCACGGACCCGACACCCGTCACCAGTCCACGCTGGAGTCCGTCCAGACGACCATCGAATAAATTACCCGTCCGCGGATGAATTTGCCGCATACAAATTATAGATTATGTGGAATACGCGATAGTGTAAATGGGAAAATATTTATAAACTAATCGGTACAATTTTAGTTCTCACTGCGTAAATTTCACATTTACATATGAATTCTGGCAAATCGAATTTTGATAGCCGTGTAAGGAGAATGTATTCAGCTAACTTGTGAAACATTTGCGTTGGGGGACATTACTAGAAACTCGAAGTAGATAAATTGCGCAATAATGTAAATTTATAAATATTGAAATTGAATAATGATTGATGATTTCAATGTAGTTTTCTTTCAAACACTTTGGCCAAATATTTGAGAAATCGGTAGCTGCAATTGACACAAACTTTCTCCTATTAATTTGACAACTATTATCATGGGTGGTGGGAGTAACAACGATATTTTATGGGGTAATCACGAAAGTTGCAATAATTTTTGAACCGTAATTTTACAGCAATAAGAATAAGAACAGTTTATTCCATTGATCTGTATACAAAGAAATAGGACAAATCATATAAATTACCAAACTAATCATCTTAATACAATCAAATTTCTGATACATCAAAATATTACATAAAATACAATTAGGCATAATAACTTATTTTAATTGAAATTGAACATCAAAATTGCACTTGATAAAGTCACTTAGGCTATAAAAAGGGTTTTGAATAAGCCAATTATAAATTATATATGTTTATATTATAATCAACAAGTTTTTCAATTTCAGGTAGTTTATTAAAACAGCGAATTGAGTTTATTTTGAAGGAGTCACCCGTTTTAGATAGTCTATGAGGTTTCATGCAGAGCTTGCCTCCACCCCTAGTGTTGAACTCATGAGTGCCATTCAATGTGGTTTTTAGTTGCTTAAGTAATCAATAACCTGCGTTGAAATTGTTGTTTGACATTACTTCTTATCCAAGAATTCTAATGTGTCCCACTTAAAAAAACCGCAATACCTTTTACTATAAGTCCCACTTATGCTTAAGAAGGGTTTTTTTACCCTCATCAAATTTCCTCTGTTGTAGGAGTCAGTTTAGTCGAAAATGGCAAACTGTACTTACCCACCAGACGTATTGCAACTATTGTTTCTATTTGGCAATTGTTCGCCTTTAGAAAACTAGAACTTAGAACACTAGAAATTAGAAAAAAAACTAAAAGCCGGTGCACAAAGAGACAGACGGACTAAAATTCGCTCCAAATGTTGTCAAATGTGGCAACGCACACAGGGATCCGTCCGTCTGCCGGAGTCCGCTTGAGTTCGTGGATGGATTTTTTGGAATCGCTGCGCATGCGCAAAGAAGGGTTTTCTTCTAGGACATTGCGAGGTAGTTTGTTCACTAAGGGTGTCGAACCCACCTGGAATCCGGGAATTTTCCGTAATATTTGATGAGCGGGGAAAAATTCACCTGGGAAATTTAAATGTTTGAATCAAAGCCGCATAATCCGCCCGAAATCGAAGATTTTTCTCGTTTTGCGTAGTTTAAAATCGCTCTCAATGGGGAAAAGTATTACGTTGCCGCGATCGCATTTAATGATCACGGCCGTTTCCGCGATCACGGTAAGTCATCACGAGTTTTTTCGCGATAGCAAGATAATTTCAAAATTTGTGCCGATTTCAAGTTACGTTCACATATGTCCGACATCATGACAAATTATACCACGGATTTTGCCGCGATCACGGAAAACCATCACCAATGTTGCCACGATCACAGAAAATGATCTCAAATTTTGCCGCGATTTAAAGTTGTGACCGATGTAGCTGCGTTCGCAAAATAAATCTTCACAGAATTCACAAGGGTATGTAATATACCAGCAGGTTTAAATAAGTAGGCCTAAAGCTTGTATTTTTTAAGCTTCAAGTTTTTGTCCTGGTAATCTTGAGCCTGGGAAACCTGAAATTGTCCTTGAATTTTTTTTCGATGGCACACTAGACAACCTGTAATTACATCACCTACTTCTGAGGGACTGACATCTCGTTCCACACTTTGTTCCGTTTCTTTTTTTAAGTTTTTACGAGGTGAAGGAGGAAAAGGATAGTTTGTCTGCTTGCGGACTCCTGCTGCTGTGTGCGTTACAAAAAAGTCCGTCCGCCTGCAGGAGTCCGTTCTCATGAGTCCGTCTGTCTCTGTGTGTGCCAGCCTGTAGCCCTTACTTCGTCCCATACTTATCTGGTGACTGAAGTGACTTCCGTGCTGGTCATTCCACAAACATTCCCTGGACTGCACCTCACGTATCAACACGTATTGTACGTTTGCTGCTGTTCCTCTGTCATTTCAGGCTGAACTGAAGCATGACTCACCTGAGCGGCGAGCGGCCGCTGAAAATCGGGCTTGACTTGGAACCATAAGCGCCGTTGAGCGGCGTCGCTGACCGCCACTCATACGTATTGTGGCCACCCTCAAAAAAATTACACTTAATTAAATTAGATACGATGTCGGAGCGGGGCCGCTCCCGCTCATATCGTTCCCGGGGTCTAAATGCCGAAATGCCCCGGGACTAGTTTTACGTGCAACGCCCGTGGAATGTTAGTAGAGAATAAAAGTGCAAATCTCGCGCAAAGTGTAAATGTTTGACAGTCTCGCTGGTTAGTAAACGCGTTTACGGACGTTTTTACTCTAGTGTTGCCTCCCACATATACCGTAATGTATCTCTCATACTCACGGGTAACGCCAGAGGAAAAAATTCAGCGAGGTAAAAGATGAGTGTGGCCCAGTCGCTGTTATTGGAGCGTCCAAAGCGGGCGACAGGAGCTCAACGATATAAACAACTCATGGATCGCTGGCTCAGTGTTGGCCGCGCGGTCGAGCTTCCCCCACCACCTACTGGCAGAAGCCGACGCAGCCCATACATTCACCATTATAAAACACACTTTTTATTTGCTGCACTGTTGAAATTTATAGGGATAAAATATTGCTAACGCTTGTCAAACTCTTTTCACTAGTTAAACCTTTTATGTCTGTTTTGTTTCTTGCAGAAAATAACCCATTTGAATTCTTTAAAACTACAAATTCACTAAACCCGTTTTGTAGAGTTTTTTAGACAACTGATATTGCTAGTTCCAAATTGTACATGGTAAAATAATAAGTGATTACAAAGGAGAAATATAAAGTACAATATTTGTGTTTGAAATTCTATTTTATTAATCGAAAAACTAGTACATAAACATTTAGAATAATTTTGCAAAGTTTTTGCCGCAGTGGTAACGTAAATGTTTGACGTAAACGCGATATTTTTTCTTTCAATGTTTAATGACAATGTATCTTACAAAATAGGTCATAAAAAAGTATGCCTATCACGTTAATGTCAAGCATAGATTTGCGGTAAAAACTGGACAAATGTAGTAGGGTTTTTAAGAGTTCAAATGTGTTATTTTTTGCACGAAAAGAAGAAGACATAAAGTTTAGAATAGTAAAAGTTTTTGGCATGTATTAGCAATATTTTATATCTATATATTTAAACAGAGCAGCAACTTAAAAAGGCCCGTTTTACAATGGTGAGTGTATGGGCTGCGTCGGCTACTGCCAGTAGATGGTGGGGGGAGCTAGACCGAAAACAGCGCCCGCAGTGCTACTGAGAGCGCAATCCAGTAGTTTTTACATCGTTGCAGGAGCTACGCTTTGGCAGCGTGCGTTACGAGCGTTTTGAGGGTATTTTGAAATCATTTTATATCTCGTCGCTATTGTCGCTAGCAAAGTGTAGCTGCTGTCCCAGCTGTCGCTGTTGTCCCCAGCGTCGCTCAAGTCTGCATCAGGGTAAGTATAAAAATTATTGTACACATTAAATGGGATACTCCTCTGTATATTTGAATAATGGATTTAATCAAAATACATTGTATTTTTCAGATCATAACAGTAATGTTTCTAATTAGTTTCTATCAGATAAAATATTTAACTTTGTAATTTAAATTGTTGGGAGCGAGGACGCGACGGTTTTTGCTTTAATAGATTTATTTACGGTTTACTAATGTTAAGATAGAACGACTAAATTTTAAAGTTTTATCTCTATAGGTCGGCCGCTTAGAAAACGACCTCCTCCAGCATTGGTTTAGCATTAGCGCGCAGGTCGTTTTCTAAGCGGCCGAACTATAGTTCGTTTGCGCATGAAACCATATGTTTTGTGAGAACACTTGCCAGCCTGTTTACGTAATGTTCACCAGTACGTAAATAGTCATAATTATCAGCTATTAACGAACTTGCCCAATTGAAAGCTCTCAACTCTACCAGCTATAAATTCGCGTGCAATTCAGTCCAGTTCCACTAACTTCATCATGGGACCCTTCCATCATATGGTTGTGACGACCATGCTGGTAAGTTTGGCCATTCTCAAGCTTTATTTTTATTTATTTATTTAAGTATAGACGGTCGTAAAGGATTTGTATCAACATGCATTTTTTTAAGAGGTTGGCGGCCTCTTTTAACCTTGTATTTGCTCAGCCACGTAGACTACAGATCTTTGCGTGGAACGTATCCAGCAAAGCAAGGGGTGAGCCGATACACTACAAAGGTGAAATGTACTGATAAAATGTTTGCGGCAGTGGCCAGGATCCGAACCCACGACATCGCTGCCTTGGGCCCAAAGTCCATGACGGTACCAACTGAGCCACCAACCCACAAAAAAAAAATTAAAATTGTTATAATCATAAATTATCTTATAAAAATATAAAAAACAATTTAAAAAACATTAAGTTTACTTCATCTATTGATGACTAGCTGTACCCGCGGGCTTTGCCCCGCTTAACTTCATCAGTATTCGCATGGCTCAATCACGTCCTGGTTTATTTTGTTCGCTTCGCTCACTCACCTTTTGGTTGCAAATTAGCTGTTGTCATAAATTTAAAAAGTCATCCCTTTGATTGTTTATAATACAGTACTTTGATACAGATTTTTATGTTTTAATATTTAACATTAGAGAATTTAAACGTTGTTAAGTGCACAGGTGTGCTGCGATTGGGGTTTAATACATTTGGACTTATTCAAAAGTAGAATAGTTTTCTGTGTTGCAATCTGTAGAAACACTGTGGCACTATTTCAAATCATGACTAATGCTAATACAGAATGTCGTGATCATTCAAACCTACAAAACAGTTGGTGAAAGTAAACATCTGCTTTTAAATTACGAGGGTTGTTTTTTTTCAACCTCCGATAGGCTATGAACAAAAGACAAGTTCATATAAAACATTAAATTTATTACCAAAAGTTTGGTCCATTTATAGTTACTTTTTGACATAATCACCAAAGAGATTGAGACATTTTCTATATCTGTGCACCAGCTTTTTAATACCCTCTTCAAGAAAAGTGGCCGCCAGTACATTCCAAAAAAACAAAAACAAATTCAAAAAACAAAAAAAATGTCAAAAAAATTAAAAAATCAAGAAAAAATAAAAAATGACTTTAAAATGTCTATAAATTCAGTAAACAAATCAATAATGGTGAATCTGTGGTTTATTTAACCATTCTGCCAACTTGTTGAACCAGCTCATTACTGTCGTTTCAGATGACTTGGTTCAACAGTTTGACAGGATGGTTAAATAAACCACAGATTCGCCATTATTGCTTTGTTTACTGAATTTCTAGAAATTTTAAAGTTTTTTTTATTTTTTCTTAATTTTTTATTTTTTTGACATTTTTAGTTTTTTGAATTTTTTTAGCGAATTTCCCATATAGGGAATAAGCTATTACCGTAGTACTCATGGTAAGACCTGGACGCGGGACCGATTTTTTTTTTCGTTTAGAGGACCCTAGAGGCCAAAAACACCATCCGTTCAAATTCATATATATATATATATATATATTTATATATATATATATATATTTATATATATATATATATGTGTCCGTCAGCACGATAACTCGAGCAAAAATGATCCGATTTTGATGAAATTTGATACAAACGTGTAAACCTACGTTTATTCTAACGAGTTCGCGATCCAGCATGATCGGACCATGGGAACGGGGGTTTACGGGGGGTTTTATGGGGTAAAAATAGGTTTTTCGCATTTTTGACCCAAAAAACATAAAATTTAGCAATTTCTTTCCAAACCATTTTGTAGAGCTTAAAAAAACAAATAATTTAGTATATTGAAGCGTTATTATGCGCCTAATGGTTACGGAGAAAATGCCAAAAAATTGTAAATTTAAAATTCCCATGTTATTCTTATGGAGAATAAGTAAACTGTTGTAGTTTGCTTGTTTGTGAACATATTTTGATCAAATTTGGAAAATGTTTTTATTTCTTACTAACTATTCACATTTTACAAAAAAAAAACAGTTTTACCCTCCCTGATGCAGCAAACCTAAGTACTTGTTAAACTAATTCTATTTAAATCAAGAATAAATGTTATATTTTTAAGTAGACATTTCAGTGTAAATCCAATCAGTCAAATGGAAATTCGCTTAGTCTGCAGGTTTGCTGCGGCGGGGGTATTTTGTTTTTTGAATGTACTGGCGGCCACTTTTCTTGAAGAGGGTATTAAAAAGCTGGTGCACGGATATAGCAAATGTCTCAATCTCTTTGGTGATTAAGTCAAAAAGTAACCATAAATGGACCAAACTTTTGGTAATAAATTTAATGTTTTATATGAACTTGTCTTTTGTTCATAGCCTATCGGAGGTTGAAAAAAAATGGTTTCGGAGTCCATAACGTATATACACACACACACACACACATACATAACCACATAGTTCCTCTTTTATAGATATAGATATGGCTAAAACTATCATCTATCAAGGCTAAAACTCCTACAGCCGGCAGTTGTTTGTATACTTCTGAAATAAAAAAAAACATGTTCGAAAAAATTTTTACAAAATGATAGCAGCTAGAAGTACAAGTGGAAGTTATACAGGGTGTCCCATAACTCTCTGGACACATAGCGTTATTGCTTAGGTCAAGACAAACAAATTTTACCATAGGAACATTGGTCTGTGGTGCCTAGTTTTCCCTCTGTGTATATTTAGGTGTTTTTACAAAAAAATAATTACTCCTAAATGGTTTTAGATACAGCTTTGGGATTTAAGAAATATGTTTATCTTAATAGACCTAAGCAATAACGCAATATACGTGTGTCCAGAGAGTTATGGGACACCCTAAGGTTGTTTTTATAGTTTTGAAACAAGAGCGAACATTGTAATACCCCCCTACCCTACTAATCCAATAAATACTTTACCTTACAATTTTTTCTACCTAAGTGGACCTTGGAATCATTTCTATTTTTTCTTTCCCCTTCCATCGCCTCAGATTAATGTTTCTCAAATTCTCCTCCACATCCTCCTGCCTTCTTTTCTAGCACCATGGATAAAGGGTTAATCCCTTTCTTACAACAAGTTTTCACTCAACAAGTAAATTTGACTTCTAAAACAATAATATTTTCAGGCGTTTCTTTTACGGGAGGATTCGGTGCAAGCGAATAAGGTAAGATGTTGTTGCTGTACTGTATTAAGTTGTGTACAACCATTTTTTTCTATTAATTGATGTGTACTAATCAACATGGGTAGCAGTTTGTATGGTGGTAAATTTAATTGCGTTATTCACTATCAAATTGTACGTAAATAAAAAAATAAATTCCAAGTCTTATTTTTCCTGTTGGCAATTGGCAGGTTTGCTCATACCAGCCTGTTGTACAGTATATTAAAGCGTTGTTGTACACAGAAGAAAATTCTAGAAACATGTGGAATTCCCATGTTATTCTTATTAGCATGTTTTTAGTATGTATGTCAAATGTCTTTATTGAGTATTTTCAAGAAATGCATATAAGTAATTTTCAGACAATTTTATTCTCTTTCAGAATACCACCTTCCAATTTGGTCGAGTTCCCCACTATAAAGAATTTTACAAAAAGCTAAGCAACCTCCAAGTTTATAGTGGCGAGAAAATACCGAGTTAAAGATATTTTTGTTGAACTTTGAACAACTAAATCTACAGTTATACTAGATCAATTTTGTTTGAGTCGTTGGAAAGCTAGATTAGTATAGAATTGCAAAAAATTATGAACGTTTGATTTCATTAAAGATATAAAATGGTGCAACGGTAAAAACACATGTTTTATACAAAAAATACATTTTCAAGTTTCTATTTGTAGCCAAGTTTAGGCTCTCTTTATTGAGTATTTTCAAGAAATCCATTACAGTAATTTGTAGAAAATGTTCTTTTTCAGAATATCGCTTTCCACTTTGATCAATTTCCTCACCATTTAAAAGTCATTAGTAAAAAGCTAAGCAACGTCCAAATTTATAGTGTTGGGAAACTTTTAAATTAGAGATGTTTTTGTTAAACGTTGTACAGCTAAATCTGCAGTTCTACTAAACCGATTTTAGCGAATTTCCCTATAGGGAAGTAGCTATTACCGTAGGTCTCATGGTAACACTTAAGCCCGGGACCGATTTACTTTTTCATTTAGTTGTCCCCAGAGGCCAAAAACACCATTCGTTTAAATTTGTATATACGTATATATCTATATATATATATATATGTGTGTGTGTGTGTGTGTGTGTGTGTGTGTGTGTGTGTGTGTGTGTGTTTGTATTCACCGAATAGTGGCATCCTTCACAGGCACACGGCCGTACTGTGGCACCTTCAAAAATTGTGGCACCTTTTTCAGGGTGCCACAGCTAATTCGATCATTTTTTAGGTTTTCCAGCATTATTACGTCGTTTAAACATCACATGCCACAATTGAGTATTTTTGAACTCGTTGATGTGAGTTTAAGTTCAGTCGGGTCAGCCGATCCGATAAGACGTACTGCTCCGCTACCGTATCGCAAGCTCACGTCGCGCTACTACTTCACGTGTGTGGCGTGTTTGTCTAAACGGCCTTGTGTAGTTAAAAAAGTGCTTTTTACGTACATAAATTAAAATGCATAATACATGCATAATGCATAATTAATGTATAATTAAAATGCTACCTGTGGCGTTTGCAACGTGGACATTGGCAGCTGCAAGTCTACTGAAGTGATAAGTTGTGCCGGTAATTGCAAAAAATCGTTTCATGTAAACTGTGTGAAAGAAGATATAGAAGAGAAGAAGGTTCGTACAGCAAAGCAATGGAGGTGTAGGGAGTGCCGAGAAGGCAGTGTAAGTTCCGGCTCAAGTACGCCGATAACAAAGGAATTTTTGCTTAAAGTTTTGGACAGTTTAAAAAAAGAACTTTTTACTGAGTTAAAAAACGTAAAAAAAGAAGTTTCCGAAATGTCGCAATCCCTGAATTTTCTTTCAGAAAAAGTGGACGAATCTACCAAATTAATGGAAAATTTAAGATCGGAAGTGCAAGTTCTGAAAAAAGAAAATGAGGTTTTGCGAGAAACAGTCACCGACCTACAAGACCGGACTCGATCACTGGAACAATATACCCGACGCAGCAACATCGAGATTAGCGGTATCCCAGTCACCCCCAGGGAGGATGTCATCCAGTTGGTGAAGGACGTAGGTGCAGTCATCGGCCTGGAGGTGGAGGAGTCCCAGATCAACGCAGCACACCGAGTACCCAGCTTCCGCAAAGACCGGGTCCCTTCCCTCGTGGTCCAGTTCATCGGCAGATCCACTAGAGACACGTGGTTGAAACAATTCAGGGAGCTCAAGGAATCTGTGACTGTGGACCAGGTAAACTCGTCTTTCCCAAAAGCGAAACTGTACATTAATGAGCACTTGTCTCCAGCTAATAAGGTGTTTTTGTCTGACTTGAAAAAGAAATGTGCTGAAGTAGGCATCAAATACGCGTGGTGCCGTGAGGGAAAATTCTTTATCAGGAAGGCTGATAAGGATAAGTGTCGCAGGATTTACAGTGAGGCTGACATCAAAAAGCTCAAATAAACCATCGTCAAAAGCAATGGATACATACTGTCCTATATTGAGATCATTAATTGCTTCCAGGGATTTCACTTTCCTTATTTACATATTTAGTTTTAGTTCCATTTTTGAATAGATTTTAAATGTACATATCGTAATTTGTATGGTAGAGAATAGTGATTATTTACTATCCTTAAACAGCAATTTTTTTGAATTAGATGATGTCAACTCAAATAATGTATTCACCTTAATATATTGCAACATTAGAAGCTTACGACAAAACTTTAATAATTTTTTAATAGAATTTTCTCAATTAGAACAAGATATTACCTTTATTGTATTAAGTGAAGTTTGGATTAACACCGATGAGTTAAATTTATTCAATATTCCAAATTACAACATTTTTGCACGTTGTAATGACTCCTACAGATCAGGTGGTGTCATATGTTACGCTTTAAAGGATATATGTGTCACAGAAGCAAATGTAAACAGTATGAGGACTGCTGACACGCTCCTCTTAAATATAAAAATTAGTAAACATTATTTTAAACTATTTTGTATATATAGACTGCAAGAGTTTACTGAGAAGGATTTTGTAAACGAACTAGAATCTTATATGAATTATTTTACTACAAATACAATTTTGCTGGGAGACGTTAATATCGACCTGTTAGATGGAAAAATAAATTCTAAAAACTATCAGTACCTTTTAGAGAACAATGGGTTTTTATCAATAGTTAAGAATGCTACTAGAATCACAACAAATTCTAAAACACTAATCGACCATATTTTTATTAAACATAGGCAAGTAAATAGCTTTAAGCAAGCAATATTTGATTTGAATATAACAGATCATTGTTTATTGGGTCTTAAATTTAATGACATTTCTTTAGACCAAGACAAAAAAAAAGTATTTTGCGAGAAGCAGACTATAGATTTTGATAAGGTTATTGGTTGTTTAAAGTCTATTAGTTGGGACGAAGTTTTTAATGAAAAAAATATTGATTTATGTTATGAGAAGTTTAATTTAATTTTAACTGACGTTGTAAATAAGTGTTCTAAAACCATTTCAATAGATAAGAGTCTTGCTAAGGCCAAACTACTAAGTCCTTGGATGACGACAAGTCTCTTAAAAAAAATACGTAGAAGAAAAAAACTGTACGTGTTAACCAAAAAAAGGCCATATGATTTAGTTTTAAGGAATCACTATAAAATGTTCTACAATAATTTAAAACTCGAAATGGATAATGTCAAAAAATTGTATTATTCAAATCATATTCGAAATGCTGATGGTGACCCCGCTAGACAGTGGAGGGTCATAAATAGCCTAACTGGTGAAACCCGTAATCAGTGTTTTGATAAGGTTGAGCTTGAGGATGGAACTATTGACAGTGACTCACAAAGTGTAGCAGATAGAGTTAATCATTATCTGATGAACATTGTGCAACCTGATAACGATACACCTTCACTGGCCGACCTGGGTCTACATCAGCGTTGCCAATCTTTTTTCATTGTGCCAACCACTGAAAACGAAATTATAGGTGTCATTAATGGTTTTAAAAATAAAAAATCTTCGGGTTTCGATAATTTTAATGCATTATTAGTAAAAAAAATAGCTCAATACATTGCACCTGTTTTAACCTATATTTTTAATAAAAGTTTTAGTGAAGGTATTTTTCCTACTAAGTTAAAGTTAAGTGTCGTAATACCAATTTTCAAGAAGCCAAACTTAATAAAATTGAACAACATAAGACCAATCAGTCTACTTTCATCTTTTTCTAAGATATTGGAGAAGCTAATGGTTAACAGACTAGTAAAGTATTTCAATCAAATAATTTTTTTTTCTCAATGGCAGTTTGGGTTTCAGCGAGGAAAATCTACAGAAGATGCTCTGTTGAATTTTACAAATTTAATATATTCAAGTTTTAACAATGGCAACAAAACGACAGGTCTCTTTGTTGACTTTATGAAGGCCTTTGACCTGGTTAACCATAATATCTTACTATTTAAGCTTGAGGCAGCTGGTATCAGAGGTGTGGCGCTCAATTGGTTCCGCAGCTTCCTGACTGGCAGAGAACAGCAGGTACGGGTAGGTGACTGCCTCAGCAGACCACTGCCCGTAACTGTAGGTGTGCCGCAGGGCTCGGTTACCTCAGCAATTTTATTCCTTGTTTTTATTAACGATTTGCTTGACAAGAATTTTAAAGGTCAAATCCAAGCTTTTGCCGATGATATTGGTTTTCTTTATTCTAATAAGGATAAGGAAGTTTTAAAAATGAATTTAATGTTTGATTTAGACATACTCCAAGATTGGTGCTTAAAAAACAAAATGAAAGTTAATGTTAGTAAAACAAAGTTTATAAATTTTGGCTACAGAGAATTTTCTTTTTCATCTCCTATTTTGTATCACATACAAGGCTGCCAACGTGTAGATTGCCAATGTGAGGAAATTGAGAAAGTTAAATCATTTAAATACCTTGGGATACACTTTGATGAAAAATTTACGTGGGAAAAACACATTCAAATTCTGCATGCAAATGTCAAAAGATCAATTAGAAAATTTTATTTCTTAAAACATTTTTGTGAAGAACATTTATTGAAAACACTTTATTACGCACTAATACATTCACG